TACCTGACTTTTAGAAGACATCTGAAGGCAGCCTTGTTTAGGGAAGTTTTTAATCTTTGATGTTTTATCATGTTTTTAATATTCTGTTGGGAGCTGCCCAGAGTGGCTGGGGAAACCCAGTCAGATGGGCAGGGTATAAATAAAAAATTATTATTATATTATATTATATTATATTATATTATATTATATTATATTATATATACACTTCGCATATACATGCCACCAAGGCCCCCTGCCCCACAGTCAGATGATCTGTGCTGATCTGCTAAGAAGGGAGCATTATTGCCCCTTGTCCACTAATCAAATGATAGCTCTGAACAGCGGAGAAGGTGTATTCTGCATCCCCATCATGGAACTGGGCAGAGAGGATTATTTGAGGGGATGATCAACAAGACTTCAGATGACACAAAACTGGAAAGGGTAGCGAATGCTGCAGAAGGAAAAAAAAGTGGGATTCAAGATAGCCTTAAAAGATTGGAGAACTGGGCCCAAGCTAACAAAATGAATTTCAGTAAGGACAAATGTAATGTTTTGCACTTAGGCAGGAAAAACCAGATGCACCAAAATGAGATGGGGGACACCTGGCTTGCCAACAGGACATGTGAAAAGGATCTAGCAGTAGACCACAAGCGTAACATGAATTAAAATGTGATGCAGCAGCTAAAAAAAGCTCGTGCTATTCTAGGCTGCATCAACAGTAGTGTCCAAGAGAAGTAATAGCAACACTATATTCTGCCTTGTCCAGACCCCACCTGGAATATTGTGTCCAGTACTGGGGGCCACAATTTAAGAAGGATATCGACAAGCTGGAATGTGTGCAGAGGAGGGCAACCAAGATGATCAAGGGTCTGGAAACCAAGTCTTATGAGGAACACTTGAAGGAGTTGGATATGTTTAGCCTAGGTAAGAGGAGACTGAGAGGAGATATGATGGGCGTAGCCAGGAGTTTTGTTGGGGGGGCAGGCCTTTTCTTGGGGGGGAGCAAAACTTGTTTGCTACAGTGGTACCTCGGGTTACAGACGCTTCAGGTTACAGACACTTCAGGTTACAGACTCTGCTAACCAAGAAATAGTACCTGGGGTTAAGAACTTTACTTCAGGATGAGAACAGAAATCGCGCAGCAGTGGCACAGCAGCAGGAGGAGGACCCATTAGCTAAAGTGGTGCTTCAGGTTAAGAACAGTTTCAGGTTAAGAACAGATCTCCGGAACGAATTAAGTACTTAACCCGAGGTACCACTGTATATATTTTTATTGATTTAGCAGGGGCAGCTTCCCCTCCCTGCCTTCCCTTTGGCTACGCCCATGGATGGTCATCTCCAAAGATCTAAAAGGAAGATGGAACATGGAAGATGGAGCAAGCTTGTTTTCTCCTGCTCCAGAGGCTAGAGCCCAAACCAATGGATTCAAGTTCCAAGAAAGGAGATTCCTGACTAAACATCAGGAAGAACTTTCTGACAATAAGAGCTGTTTGACATTGGAACCGTCTCCCTCGGGAGGCTGTGGACCCTCCTTCCTTGGAGGTTTTCAAGCAGAGGTTGGATGGCCATCTGTGTTGGAAATGTTGGTTGATATTCCTGCATTGCAAGAGGTTGGACAAGATGAACCTCGGAGTCCCTTTCAACTCTACAGTTGTATGATTCTATACTGCTCACTCAACATGTTGTCTTTACCACTCCTTCCAAAATCAGTGAGGTCCTGGGAGGAGGCAAAAGAATCTGCAGATGAGGCTCCGGGAGTAGGAGTTAGCCTATCTAGTGCTTTAGCCCTGAGTGAACTGGTAATTTCTCTCCTTGGTTTGCTGCAGGACGCTGTATGTGTGGCTTGAGTTGGGTCTGGTCACAGCACAGTTCCAGAATCCAGCCTCAAACACTCTTCCTCGCGATGCAAAGTGCACACACAGTTCCATTCAAAATGAATCATTAAGTGTTATGAGCAGAATATTTCCCGAGTCAGCTCCTTCACATTAAATGCTGATAAAACCAAGGTCATACTTAAGCAGGAACAATTGGCGGCAGTTCTCCATTATTGGCACAATGGCAACACACACGAGTTTTGTAAGTTTTTCCAAGCATATATGCTTGTATGCTGTATGCCCCTTCACAAGTTAGTTACTTAAAGAACACCATGGCATGTTCCTGCAGGGATATCAAGCATTGCACAGCACAGACCTGTGATGGTGCCACTGTAGTGAGTGGGAAACTAAATGGGGTGAAGGCATAAGGCATCTACAGTTATTGTTTCAACCACAGGCTGAACTTAGTTACTGTTGATGTAAGAATATAGACGTTGTTGCAAACTGCTCTGGTCATCTTCAACAACTGTACCTGTTCTTAAAAGGTAAAGGGACCCCTGACCATTAGGTCCAGTCGTGGCCAACTCTGGGGTCATCTCGCTTTATTGGCCAAGGGAGCTGGTGTACAGCTTCCGGGTCATGTGGCCAGCATGACTAAGCCGCTTCTGGTGAACCAGAGCAGCGCACGTAAACGCCGTTTACCTTCCCGCCAGAGTGGTATCTATTTATCTACTTGCACTTTGATGTGCTTTCGAACTGCTAGGTTGGCAGGAGCAGGGACCGAGCAATGGGAGCTCACCCCGTCGCGGGGATTCGAACCACCAACCTTCTGATGAGCAAGTCCTTGGCTCCGTGGTTTAACCCACAGCACCACCCGCGTCCCTTTGTACCTGTTCTTACGTGTATCCATATTTCAACTGAATTTTTCTTCTTCTTCGCCAGACCTTTATTAGGCATTACAAGTGCCTAATTTTTATATAAAACATCCATATATAAAATTTTAAAATATATACAAATAAACAGCCATCTAAATATATATATAGTATAATTGCAAACACAGACAAGGAATAAGATGACTGAATTAAAAAGCCACTCGCTGGGTGTGTCAGATTGCATTGCGTTTTAGCTGCTATTTCAAAACTTCCTGTAACTTTACTGCTTCTGAATATAATCAGTAATGAATTCAACCCTTTAAAAAGTGTTGAGGCTTGTGGCATTCTAAACCAAAGAGATTTTGGCTTTGTGTTTCGCCACTAAAAGTAGGGTGAGATTTATTTATTTATTGCAATAATCAGATAGTGACATGGCTCTTGCATCTCAAGAGTGGGGCTTGATCCATGTGTCTTTGGTTGTTTTCTTAACCACACTTACCTGAGAGTATTCCCCCTTGGATTCAATAGGACATCTGAGTAGACAATGGCTCCTAAAGTTTGACCAACTTAAAAATGTGCTGTGAACTCCTGATGAATGAAGGGGGCAGAAAAGGCTGAGATCCCCAAATACACTAACCAAAAAGGAAACCCTACCGAAAGCAGCAGGAGAGCAAAGAGAATGGAGGAGGAGGAAAAAGAACTGCATTGCAGGGACTTGGGCCAAATGTCCTTCGTGGTTCCTTCCAACAGTACAATAAAGGTAAAGGGACCCCTGACCATTAGGTCCAGTCGTGGCCAACTCTGGGGTTGCGGCGCTCATCTCGCTTTAATGGCCGAGGGAGCCGGCGTACAGCTTCCAGGTCATGTGGCCAGCATGACTAAGCCGCTTCTGGTGAACCAGAGCAGCACACGGAAACGCCGTTTACCTTCCCACCGCAGTGGTACCTATTTATCTACTTGCACTGGTGTGCTTTTGAACTGCTAGGTTGGCAGGAGCAGGGACCGAGCAACGGGAGCTCACCCCGTCGCGGGGATTCAAACTGCCGACCTTCTGATTGGCAAGTCCTAGGCTCAGTGGTTTAACCCACAGCGCCACCTAAATCAAGCACTGCTAGGAGTGTTTTCATTTTTTTTGTTCTCCTATGTATTTCTTAACAATTAAAAAATTCAGCGTGGCACAAGCAAATACCTGACCCGGAGGGGGAAAGTTTGAGAACCACTGCTGTTGAGGTATATAACACCAGTACAGATAGCAATAATGTATAAAACCAGATCAAACATATATTGGAAATGTAAAGAAAAAGAAGGGACCCTTTACCATATGTGGTGGGAATGCTGAGAAATTTAAGAAAAATGGGAAATGATATATAATGAATTGAAGAAAATGTTTAAATTAACATTTGTAAAAAACCAGAAGCATTTCTGTTAGGGATGGCAGGAAAATACCTGCCAAGGAAAATAAAGGATTTATTTATGTATGCTACAACAGTGGCAAGAGTCTTAATAGCACAAGGATGGAAGAATGAGGAAACCCCAACGAAAGAACAATGGCAAGAAAAACTGATGGGTTATGCAGAGTTGGCTAAACTGCCGGACAAGGACAACTGTGACTTCAAAGAAGAATGGGAACTTTTTACAAACTACTTAAAAAGACAACAAAATGAATTGGACTCCTTGGCAGGTTTTGAATAAGCATACACAAATTTATTGATTGTTAACATAATAGATAGATAATGTTAGGATTTATATAATTTTACAATAGGCAGAGAATAACATTTTTGAGAAACCAGAGAGAGGACCTGAGGGAAGTCGGGGGCGGGAGGGCGGGCTCTTTGGGGAGGTGGGGAGGAAAAAGGGGGGGATAATGAAGATATGTTTTGATAATTTGTTATGTTGAAAAATTATTTATTTTTTAAGAGAACCACTGCTGTTGAGAACACGAGACTCTTAATCTCAGGCTCGTGGGTTCGAGTGTCCAATCAGGGCCAAATGTTTCCTGCATTGCGTGAGGGTTGGACTGGATGACCGTGGTGGTCCCTTCCCAATTTGACTTGGAGCCAAGCCTTCGGCGCGGCCAACGTTGAGCCCGGTGGAATAAAGGACTCCGCGCATAGGAGGCCGTTTTCTGCGCTCGGCTGCTCTGAGCCGGAGAGGAGGAAGCGCCTGGCCCCCTTTCACACGTGATGCCCGGGGGGCGGACCTAGCAGGGCCCCGCCGTTCCGGGGACAGATTTAAGCCCAGCGGGGAAGGGGGTCTCTTCTTTTCACCCCATTGCTCCCCTCGCTGATCCCCCGCGCGCTCTCCTCCTCCGTGCCAAGAACCTCGGGGCGCAACGATGGCGCGTTTGGCGCGGCGCCTGGCTTTCCTCCTCGTCTTCTTCCTCGTCCAGCTGTCGCCGAGCTGGGCCGACACGCCGGCCAACTGCACCTTCGAGGACCTAGTGGGCACCTGGGTTTTCCAGGTGGGCAGGGGACACGGATCCCCGAGCCGGCACATAAACTGCTCCGAAGTGGGTAAGTGACAGCGCGCAGGGCAGGGCGCTCGCCTCTCCAACTTCCTCCGCCTCCAGGAGCGATCCCCGTTCCTAGTTCCCGTTACTGCCCTCCATTCGGACCTATTTTCCTTCCCCCAATAAAACAACGCCAACAAATAGAAAGGCAAGTTTGGAAAACATCCGGCGAATCAGCCCAGCGGCGCGGTTTGGCAGATTTAGTTTCCTTGACTTCGGAAGTAAATCTCACTGTATTCCCGGAGGGTTTACTTCCTACCTAGGAGATCTGCTGGGTAGGATCATTTTCAGGAAACCCCCTCCTTCCTTGTTGGAGGCAAAGCTGAACTTTGCATTCGGTTTTCAAACTCCGCTCGGTGCGGGTTATTTTATTTTATTTCGCGAGTTCAGAGCGGAGAAAGGGGTCTGGATTTCACAGCGACAGAAAGTAGAATGCTGTGCAAATAAAATGGAATAGAAAGCAAAAGTAAGCAAGCTTTAGAAGGGTCACAGATTGAACGCGTGTTCAAACTCCCCTTTAAAAAAAAATCATTGGGGCTTTACAAATTTCTAACTTCGTAGCTGCTTCCCCTCCCGCCTTAAGATCATACAGTGGTACCTCGTGTTACATACGCTTCAGGTTACATACGCTTCAGGTTACACACTCCACTAAGCCAGAAATAGTGCTTCAGGTTAAGAACTTTGCTTCAGGGTGAGAACAGAAATTGTGCTCCGGCAGCGCGGCAGCAGCAGGAGGTCCCATTAGCTAAAGTGGTGCTTCAGGTTAAGAACAGTTTCAGGTTAAGAATGGACCTCTGGAACGAATTAAGTACTTGACCTGAGGTACCACTGTAATGTTTGCTGACCTTCTCAAGGCCAAAATGGATCTAAAACTGGACATTTCTCTCCCTCCTACAACCTTGGACAGCCGAATGTCTCTGGGAAGCTCACTAGTGGGGCTGAAAACAGGTGGTTGTGGTTTCCCCCCTGTCTGTATTTAGAGGTATACTGCTGCTCTGTGTGGAGGCTTCATCTTGGCCTCAAGCTTAACAAGTTAACATATGTCTTCAACTTCATTGGGGTATAATCAACTAGTACTGTGTGAGCTAGTTATGTCTGCATATCACACGTGACTCAGCTCTTCACACATGAAAACCTCCAGTTCTGTTAATGAGTCACATCTTCTATCGCAGAAGCAAAGCTGTCTTTCTGTTTTTGTTCTTATCTAAACCATCTTGAGCAACAGGTCCTTGGTGGACCCTCCCAGCCTTGTTTCTGCTACAGACATGGAGGGAAGGGAGGAGAATCGTAGGAATTGTAGAGTTGGAAAGGGACCACGACGGTCATCTAGCCTGAATGCCTGCAGTGCAGGAATCTTTTGCTCAAAGCGACCCGGAGTCTCGTGCAGTGCTCTTGGGAAAATTAAAAGATGTTTTCCTTACTGCTGCACAACCCCATCCTACCTCGGGATATTAAAAACCAAGGGGATGACCTTCCAGGGCAAACTCTGTTTCTTCCAGCTACTACTTTGTTTTGGATGTTTCCCCCACTTGAACTATAATAATAAGAGTGCACGGAAACGCCATTTACCTTCACATCGCAGTGGTATCTGTTGATCTACTTGCACTGGCATGCTTTCAAACTGCTAGGCTGGCAGGATATATACTTATACCCTGCCCATCTGGCTAGGTTTCCCCAGCCACTCTGAGCAGCTTCCAACAGGATATTAAAAACACAGTAAAAGGTCAAACATTAAAAACTTTCCTATACCGGGCTGCCTTCAGATGTCTTCTAAAAGTCAGATAGTTGTTTATTTCCTTGACAGCTGGTGGGAGGGTGTTCCACAGGGCAGGCGCCATCACGGAGAAGACCCTCTGCCTCGTTCCCTGTAACCTCACTTCTCACAGTGAGGGAACTGTTAGAAGGCCCTCAGAGCTGGACCTCAAGTGTCCGGGCAGAACGATGGGGGTGGAGACGCTCCTTCAGGTATACTTTTTGAGAACTACCCTGAAAGGTCCTGCAGCTGAATGCATAAAGAAGAGAGCCTAGCCTTCATGCATGCTGTGGTTGGGGAAAAAATGGGTGGGGTTTTTTCCCTCTTCAACAATCTCTCTAGGTGCGTGAGTGCAGGTATCTTGCATGCTGGGATAATGGAACCTTTTTGTCTTTGTTGAAGTTACATCCCTCTCCCAGTCTGTCTTACGGTCCACTGTTGGGGTTTAGCTATCCAGCACTTGCATACTAACAACTCATTTCTTAGCAGGGCCTCTGTGTGTGCTGGGCAGGGATGTATCCTGCCCACCTGATAGCTCAGTCGGCAGAACATGAGACTATTAATCTCAGGGTCACGGGTTCGAGTTCCACATTGGGCAAAAAAAAAAAAAATCCTGCATTGCAGGGGGTTGGACTATATGACCCTTGTGGTCGTTTTCCAACTCTACAATTCTGTGATTCTTTGTGAATCAGGGGCTACTTCCATCCGGTAAGACCATCCCACCCTTAAACCAAAAGGAGGATGTCATTTTTTGTTGCCAGGTGTTGTAAACAAAAATTGCCCTTTTCCCTTATGGGGTATCCAAGAGCCCATATAGAGTCCTTACATAGGTTCCCTATTGGTAGGAGAGAATAACAGAGGCCAACCAGAGAATATTGAGAAGCAAAGCAGCTTGTAAGCTTGATCTTTATTGATCTGTTGCAACAGGGTGCTCCCCTCACACGCAGGAAAGGAGGAGGACTCAGAAAAATGGCATGCAAGGCCTTATAAAGGCTTTTGAAATTGCCACCCTGTAGATCAAGACCACCCCCAGAAACATCATACATGCATCACAGAAGGGGTGTAACCTAAGACCACCACTCAGATACATTACACCTACATCACAGAAAAGGCAGTCTTAAAACAGAAAATTGAATGATTGGATTGTCTGGGTAGCCTGGGCAGTCTTTTGTAATGATAAATACTTAGTTCCTGGGCCATGTCACAGGCTCACACCCTATTCATATCTTAAATGTGCCCTTAAGACAGGATTTGTGAGGAAAGAGACAATGGGGAGGTTTGCCACTTTGACCTTGCAGACAAAACATTTGCTCAGTTTAGAAATCAAAATGGTTCCAGGTTGGTCTGCCTGTGCTGATCTATGTACGTACTTGGTTACTACATTTATGAACATTTCCATATATCTAAGACCTCAAAATTCCTATCACACAGGATAAAAAATTCCCAGCAAAGTTTGTCTGTAGTGCAGCTGCTTAAAGATGCAGGAGCTCTTCTGGTTTTTTTGGTGTTGTTTTTAAGCTGGCGACTGGAGTCAGCTTGTATGTAGCTTGACTGTATGCATTACATCAGGGTCTATAAGAAATTGGAGGGGGAGGACTATATGCAATGTTTATTCTCAGCTTTTTTTCCCTATTGCACAAGCTAGCAGTCGCCCGCCCCGCCCCAAGTTTTTGCAGCTTAAAGAACTTGAAAGAGGAAGATAAGAATCAACAGAGAAAGAGACAGGAAGGAAGAAAAAAAGTATCAGAGAAAGATGGAAAGGCCAGAACATTGGGGGAAATGAAAGTGACGGGGAGGGTACAAAAAATAGAGGTACCTGGGAAAGAAGGGGGTGCATGAGCTTAGCCTAGGGGGGCAGCCGCATTTCTAAATCAGTAAAAATCAATAGAAATCAATAGAAATCTGTGGATCTGCCCCCCCTAACGAAAGCCTGCCCCCTCCCAACAAAAATCCTGGATACGCCCATGGGAGGGGGAGTAAGCGGATTCCCCACCATTTCATTACAGTGGTATCTCGCGTTACATACGCTTCAGGTTACATATGCTTCAGGTTACAGACTCCGCTAACCGAGAAATAGTGCCTCGGGTTAAGAACTTTGCTTCAGGATGAGAACAGAAATCGCACACCAGCAGGAGGCCCCATCAGCTAAAATGGTGCTTCAGGTTAAGAACAGTTTCAAGTTAAGAATGGACCTCCGGAACAAATTAAGTACAGTGGCACCTCGGGTTAAGTACTTAATTCGTTCCGGAGGTCTGTACTTAACCTGAAACTGTTCTTAACCTGAAGCACCACTTTAGCTAATGGGGCCTCCTGCTGCCGCCGTGCCACCGGAGCACGATTTCTGTTCTTATCCTGAAGCAAAGTTCTTAACCTGAAGCACTCTTTCTAGGTTAGTGGAGTGTGTAACCTGAAGCGTATGTAACCTGAGGTACCACTGTACTTAACCCGAGGTACCACTGTATTCAGGGGGAGGAAATATCTGCCTTTCTTAACCTGTAATTGGGTAGTGAGGCTCCCTCACAAAGAATAAGACTGAAGCTGAGCCCCAATCCCGTCTCAAAGCAAAAGGCATCTTAGCAAGTTCAGCATAGCTGTGATTCTTTGCATTGTGAGGGGTTGGGCTAAATGACCCCATGGGGTCCCCTTCTGACTCTACCATGCTACGATCCTATGGCAATGCGAGAGGAAGCACCATGGCACAGCGGTGTGACCTTCTGTTTATTTTGTAGCAGCGTGTAATGATTGAACATGGCCTGTTTAAGTAGAATTCAGTATGAATAAATAAATGGCTGAGTAGTCAAGGAATTGGTCCTATAATATTGTTGCAGGAATTTATGTATGGGGGGGGGTTGCCCCTCCAGCAGATATCAGCACAATCACTTTTGTGACCTTTGTGATTTGTCCTCACAAAACACTCCATCACAGTTTCTTCCTATCTATTCAAAGGGCCTTTGCTTCATGATACTAAATGTAACAATTCACTGATAAATCTATCTATGTACTGGCTCACTGGGAAAACTTCAGGAATTCATATAGACATGTGAGCTCAGCTGCTCAGCAGCCCCTCTGCCTGAGTGATAATTCCTGGCATCCTGATACCTGAGCGCCAGACAGGCAGCCATTCCAGAAATATCAAACCCAGATAAAGACAAAAGGGTGTGATTAACTTGGCTGGGAAACAGGGAAATGTAAATATCTCTTTTGTTCCACTTGATGGGTGTTTGGTGGAGGGCAAGGAGAACCATGGGGCAGGGTCCAGGATGCTCAGATTACTGCCACCAGACCTCCCCTTTCATGATGTAACCGTGATGTATGAGTGATGTAGTTTGGGGGGGGTGGTGCTGTGGGTTAAACCACAGAGCCTAGGACTTGCCAATCAGAAGGTTGGTGGTTCGAATCCCCACAACGGGGTGAGCTCCCATTGCTCAGTCCCTGTTCTTGCCAACCTAGCAGTTCGAAAGCACATCAAAGTGTAAGTAGATAAATAGGTACCGCTCCGGCGGGAAGGTAAACGGCGTTTCCATGCGCTGCTCTGGTTCGCCAGAAGCGGCTTAGTCATGCTGGCCACATGACCCGGAAGCTGTATGCCGGGTCCCTTGGCCATTAAAGCGAGATGAGCGCCACAACCCCAGAGTCGGTCACGACTGGACCTAATGGTCAGGGGCCCCTTTACCTTTAACATGGGGATTAGCAGCTAATAAAAGTTTGGGAGCTCTTTTGTTCGGGGCTTCCATCTTGTTCCAACTTGTGGCAGGTGGGAGTCCTGTCGCGACAGTCTTCAATAAAGCCCAAGCCTACTGGCTGCTGTTTTGCTCTATTATTCCTGGCTGGTGTCCTTGTTTTTTGTCCAAGGGAGCCCTCAGATTTCTCTGTTAACAGTATGCTATTCAGGGGTAGGCAACCTAAGGCCCAGGGGCCAGATGCGACCCAATCACCTTCTCAATCCGGCCTGTGGACGGTCTGGGAATCAGCATGTTTTTACATGAGTAGAATGTGTCCTTTTATTTAAAATGCATCTCTGGGTTATTTGTGGGGCATAGGAATTCATTCATTTCCCCCCCCCCCCCCCAAAAAAATATAGTCCGGACCACCACAGGATCTGAGGGACGGTGGACCAGCCCACGGTTGAAAAAGGTTGCTGACCCCTGTGCTATCTGTATAAGTTTATGAAGATTTGAAAGGAACCAGCATTTGTCTTCGTTTTGTGCTCTTTTTATCTTCTCTCTCTATTTCTTTTTTTAGAAGCTACTTTGCACCTTTTTGAATCCCATTTGCCCAGCTGCACAAAAACTTATTACACACTCATTTTTTTTGTGTGTGTGATGTCACACAAAATGTTTCCAGCTGCACCTCAGATTAACCCTGTGTGTAATGTGGTTTAGCAAACGAAATTGGATGTGTCTATCTCTAACTAAAACTTAAAAGCCCCTGTTTGCAGAGGGTGGGTTTTGTTTGAACTGGATTGCTTGGGTCTACAGGCAGCTCCAGTTTGGGTCAAATTTGGTTTTATTGGAAGCGCTTGTCTTAATAACATCAGTGCTGATTGGAGAACATGGTTCAGCCCTCTCAGGATGTTGGCCACTTTGTCTGAAGTGCAGACTAAGAAGTAGATAGAAAATGGTCAAAAGGGGAATGGTGATTTGCTGAAGGGAAGTGTTTTTTTTCTTTATTTATATTTTACATCAGCACTTCTCTACATTAGTCATGGTCACAAGGTCAGAAAGTTTATGCCTGAAAGAGTGAACAATGCAGTTTGCCTTCCTCCTGACCCTCACATGATTGCAGACAGTATTTTTTTAAATTTAGGTTTTATGTCTTACAACTTTAAGCAGCAGAAATGGAAACATTAATTGGGCCTGAATTCTACATTTTTAATTATGCGTACTGTAAAAGAAAAATACTTACCACAGTTTCATTAAAAATAATACTTATTGGACCAGAATTCCACATTTTTAATTATATGTTTAAAAGAAAATACTGACATATCGCAATCTCATTAAAAAAGAAAGTCAAGGTGGTGCACAACAATTTATATATGAGCAAAGGCACGTCGAAAATTAAAATCACAAGTCCCCAGCTGATAATTAATTCATTGCCTCGTCACATTAAAAAGTTTTTGGCAAATTGTTAAAAGTTGTTGTAGAAGATGCCTGCTGCATCCATATTGGAAGAGCATGAAACTGGATGATGCAATAATCATGTCCAAAGTCCTGAATTGCTTAAAAAAAATATGGTTTGCTTCACACAGCCGTTTGAATACATTTATTTTCTTAAATTTATACATGGCTTATCTTCCATCATGGAACTGAATGTCGTTTGATCAGTTCTGCTGCCGCAGGCCCACTCCTTCAGGAACCCTTTTTGGCGCAGTATAAATGCCACCAATCAGTCAATAAATCCCATCCAGGTACTGGCCAGACCCAGAGCTGCTTGTTTTGGATGCTCTTGTATGGATGCTTTAGCTGAGATTCCTGCTTTGCGGGGGGGTTGGGCTAGATGACCCTTGGGTCCCTTCCAACACTAAGATTCTATGATCTTCAGCAAAATAGATGCATTACGTGCCTTCAGACCATGCCTTGAGATTGTATGCCTCTGAGCCCATTCATAAAGGTGAGCATGTCAGACCAGAACAAAGGACATGGATTCAAATCCTTCCCTGGCTTTGAACCTCACGGGGTCCAGACAGTTTTTCAACCTAATAATCTTCACAGGGTGGGTTGTATGGATAAAATGAAGGTGGAGAAAGATCTGTCTGTGTTGTCCTGAATGATTTGGAGGAAGAACAGCCAAGCAATGTGATATTTATTTATTTCATAAAATTTATTCACGGCTTGATTTTCTACTTTAAACTTCAAAGTGGTTTACAAAGCATAGATGGAAATAAAGATTGTTACCACCTCTGCTTGATTCCTATGCTGGGCACAGAGAAAGGACATGACTGTTCATCACTTCTGACACCCCTGCTCACTAGCCTTGCTTACCGGGCCAGTATATAATTGCAGGGCTGTGTTACTGTTGCATCTGTGCATTGGCCAGCTTGCTTCTTCAGCCTGGTTCTCTTCCCCATCCCCAAATTGGTGAAAATTCTCTTTGCTGCTTCTCTCCAGGGGCTGTGGAGAAAAAAGTTGTCGTTAACCTTCAGAAACTCGATGTTGCTCAGGACGATCAAGGGAACTTTGGCTTCTTCACGATAATTTACAACCAAGGCTTCGAGGTTGTGCTGAACAACTACAAGTGGTTTGCATTTTTTAAGGTAATGTAGCTTCCAAATAATAATAATAACTAATAATAATAATAATAAAACCTCTGCACCATTTTCCTCCAGAATATGTTGGGAATAAAGGGCTCTTCCAAACTTTGAAATTCTTGTTGGCAAAATAATTTGGAAGGAGTATAATCGGTGCTTTTTTTCTGGGGGTACTCAAGAGTGCGCAGTATCTGCAGCTATTTTTCTAGAAGAAAAGTGCTGTATAATATATGATGTCTCCATAAGGTAAAACATAAATGTCCCCTGGACAGTTTGGTCCAGTCAAAGGCGACCATGGGGTGTGGTGCTCATCTCACTTTTGGGACCGAGGAAGTCACTGTTTGTCCACAGACAGCTTTCCGGGTCATGTGGCCAGCAGGACTAAACCACTTCTGGTGCAACAGAACACTGTGACAGAAACCAGAGCGCACGAAAATGCCATTTACCTTCCCACCATAGCGGTACCTATTTATCTACTTGCACTGGTGTGCTTTCGAACTGTTAGGTAGGCTGGAGCTGGGACAGAGCAATGGGAGCTCATCCCATCACGGGGATTCGAATTACTGACCTTCCGTTTGGCAAGCCCAAGAGGCTCGGTGGTTTAGACCATGGTGCCACCCATGTCTCTGTACAGCCTATTTGAAGAGTGAGCAGAGGAGCAGTTCTGGATTGGACAAAGCTCTCACATTGAACACATGCTTAGATTCTGAAACTTGTCATATTTTTCACTAAGCTTTGTTGGTCTGTCTTTGGAAGCCAAGAAAGCTGGCAATTGGCTGCAGACCTTCAACTCTCTGTCGAAATGCCTGTTTGCTCCTTGCCGTTTCCAGGAGAACTTTAAAACAGGCTTCTGAGTAAGGAATCTCCTGGTGCAAAGGTCTTGTTTACAGGCCTGCCTGTGCCTGCCGCAGAAGCTTTTGGATGGGTCTGGAATTCAGTTTCATCAGAATCGCTCGATAATGGTGGGAGAGGTGGGTTGCAGGTGTGAAGGTCAAACTGGTCCAAAACACAGCCTTGACTCTTCCAGCCAAAGGTTGCCATTGCCCCATGATGTCGCAGGACAGTGGGCATTTATGCAGACTAGGGGTGGCTTGCTTGGTGAGACCCTTCTAGGAACATGCAAGACAATGGGGTTTGTTCTCCTAAATGGTAGAGCTTGTGGATGCCTGTTAGTTGACCGTGCTACATCAGAAGGGATCTTGCATGCTCTTTTGAACAATAGCAAAAAAAACCAACACCCTGTGCATAAAAAAAACTCCTGTGTTCGGGAGCTCTTGGAACAGCCTTCCCCAACCTGAGGCCTTCCAGATGTTGTAGGAGACCAACGCCCATCAGCCCCAGCAAACCAGGCCCAGTGGCCAAGGATTATGGGACTATGGCCCTCCAGATGTTGCTGCATTGCAGACGGTTGTCTTAGAACATGCATGCAAATTTCCTCTCATCATACCATTTGTTCATTCAATGTAGTATTGTCTACTTTGAGTGACAGCAAGGTTTCAAGCAGAGTCTTTCTAGCTGGAAATGCCTGGGATTACATCTGGTATTTGCTGGGCAATGCACTCATTCTTTCCCTCTGCTACAGCATTTCCAAGATCCCTGGCAAAATTGAGCAGAGAGGAACGAGCGGCGGCGAGTTCCCTTTGAATGTATTCTACAAACCACTTGTGGTGGGAAACTTAAACGTGGGGCTTTGTGGAAGTTGAAAATGGTCATCACCTGGAGTCTGTGTATGCAATAATAATACTATTATTTCATTTACAAATAAATCGCTTCCCATAAGGGCATCACCGAAGTGATCTGCAATGTATCTAAGACGGATACGGATTTTTTTTAAAAAAAAAGTTAAAACAATTACGTATAGAAGAACAATTGTTATAAATAGTTGCGCATTGCAGGGGGTTGAACTAGATCACCCTCATGGTCCCTTCCAAGTCTACAAAATCTGATTCTGTGATCTAAGAACAAGGTAAAAAACAACAACACGTAAAATCAATTCAAATCCCAGATTTATTTAAAAAATAAAGATTTTTGAAGGCTTGCTGAAAGAACAGGCAACAAAGAAGGACTTCCAAAGGTTAGGTGCCACCATACTAAAGGCCGGATTCTGACCTTGTGTAGAACAGAACTTCTGATAGGATGGCAACTGCAGGATGCCATCGTCTGCATAAGCAGTGATTGGTTGGGTACATAGGGGGTGAGATTAATATATGGCATTCAGTGACTGTGTACACACACATATATGACTATATAGATGTCTAGTTTTTTGAAGCATGGTAGATAAGAAAATTGAGGTTGGTTGTTTCTGAGTTGGTGTGGAACGTAAGCAGATTTCTGTTAAAAGCAAAGCTGAATTGCTGAGCAGATGGCATTGAAAGAGCTCCATCCCTATCTTGCTTTGGGTGCCAACCATTGTTTGTAGAGACCTAATGAGAAGAGTGTTGGTTGAAAGAGGTGACTCTGTAGACTGCATACACTTCACTGCCAGTTGGACAAGTCTTTGTGATATCTGTAGTGCCTCCATGGGGTGTGGGGCTAAGTCCCATTTCATGCATTAAATCATAACAGTGCCAAGCATTTAATGCACTGTCATACCACCTCAAACCATGATGGCTTGCCCAAAAGAATGATGGGATCTGTAGAGTGCTGAGATTTTAGAAGATGCCTCATTCCCCTCGCAGAGCTACAAGTCTCAAAGCTCCCCTGGGAAAGAGAGGTTGGTTGTTAAGCCACTCTGAGAATCGTAGCTCTGGGAGGAGTCTCCCAACATCTGCTTTATAGAGCATCTATTTATGCAGAAGATCGCAAGCATCTCCGGGGAAGACTTGTCTGAAACCCTGGAGAACCTCTGCAAGTCATTGTAGGCAATACTGAACTACATGGTTCAATGGTCTCACTCTATAAGGCATATCAAGGGTCTGGAAACCAAGCCTTATGAGGAGCGGTTGAAGGAGCTGGGTATGTTTAGCCTGGAAAAGAGGAGACTGAGAGGAGATACGATAGCCATCTTCAAATCACTCAAGGGCTGTCACATGGAAGAAGAAGAGTTTGGATTTGATATCCCGCCTTTCACTCCCCTTCAGGAGTCTCAAAGCGGCTAACATTCTCCTTTCCCTTCCTCCCCCACAACAAACACTCTGTGAGGTGAGTGGGGCTCAGAGACTTCAGAGAAGTGTGACTGGCCCAAGGTCACCCAGCAGCTGCATGTGGAGGAGCGGGGAAGCGAACCCGGTTCACCAGATTGCCAGTCTATTGCTCTTAACCACTACACCACACTGGCTCTCTTCACACTGGAAGAGGAAACAAGCTTGTTTCCTCTTACTTCAGATGGTAGGACCCAAACCAATGGCTTCAAGTTACCAGAAAGGAGATTCCGCCTAAATATTAAGAAGAACTTTCTGACAGTAAGAGCTGTTGAACTCCCTTGAAAGGTGATGGACTCTCCTTTCTTGGAGGTTTATAAGCAGAGGTTTGGATGGCCATCTGTCCTGGATGCTTTAGCTGAGATTCCAGCATTGCAAGGGGGTTGGACTAGATGACCCTCGGGATCCCTTCCAACTCTGCCATTCTATGCTAAGGGCCGGATCAACGTTGCTGAGAAGCTAAGCCACAAATTTTCCTACACCCCTTCTAAACACACACAAACACCAGGTGCCCTTCCTGGCTTTTTCTTTCCCCCCCTTTTTTTAAGAAGCAGCCACTGCATGAAGTTTTCACGCTTCAGGTTATCAGGGGGGGAAAGGCCACTTAAAACCGCCAAGGCTCATCGTTTCACGACGCCTGGGACCAGCAGGCAAGGAAAAGAGCCGGCGGCAAAAGAAAAAAGAAGCTGTTGTGTTTTGTGTTATTGCTTTGGAGGTACACGAAGTTTCCGGGATGCCGTTCCAAATTCATCAAGATCGACGGCAGGCAGCTCAGCGGAGCTTCGGGGCAAAGGAACTTGGAACGTTTTAGCACCGCAGAGCCTACAGTCCCTGCCGGCATCGTGCCAAGGAGGCAAATTTCACCCTTTCTGCAAAGCATAAAAGCAACAGAGGTCTAAAGTGCGTCCCTCATGTCAAGGAAACAAAGCTGCAGGCAAAACCAAAAATATAGGAAGCATATGGTGGCTGGTAGGGTATCTAAATCTGGGCAAATGCATCTTCCTTGAGCAGAAAAACTTGGCTTGCTTCTCAGGCAGGTTGATCCAGCCCTTATCACAAAATTGTAGGGTTGGGAGGGACCCAGAGGCACACTGAAATGTAGGCATCACAGCTCTGTAATCACCTAGTCCAGAAGGTCACTGGGCTTTTGGGGCCAGTGGACGCATTCGTAAGCCAGAAACTCTTATGGGCAACACCCCTCTATTTTATTGCTTAGAACAGAATAGAATCAATACTGTTACTTCTCTTAATCTGGACACAATACATCTGTTGATGCACCCTAGAATAGCCTTGGCTTTTGTTTTTTGCTGCTGTATCCCATTGTTGACTCATGTTCAGCTTGTGGTCCAGTAAGACCCCTAGATATTTTTCGCATGTGCTACTTCTTTCAAACTTAATTTCCATGGGAAGTTGGATTACAGGGAGGAGATGTCTCTTTAAAGACTTTTCACCCCACCTTTCCTCCCAGGAGCTTCAATGCAAGGGTACATGATTATTCCACCTCTACATTTTATGTGGCTTAGGGCCCTCGTATTTAGGGGACCACCTCTCCTGGTATGCCCTGCAGAGGACCTTAAGGTCCATGAATAATCATAGTTTAGAGGTCCCAGGCCCCAAGGAAGTCAGATTATCCTCCACCAAGGCCAGGGCCTTCTCAGTGATGGCTTCAACCTGGTGGAATTCTCTGTCCCATGAGACCAGGGCCCTGCGGGATTTAACTTCCTTCTGCAGGCCCTGTAAGACAGAGCTATTCTGCCTGGCTTTCAATTTGAACTTAGCATGATCTTTTATTCCCCTTCCTTCCCTCCCCCTCCCCTTTTTGTGAAGATTACCCGCTCTGGGATCCCACAGCTGGTTCTCCCCTGGTCTCCTCGCTGGCCCAAGTGGGACTAATTTAGCCAGCTAGCCCTAACGTTTATTGGATGGATTTTCCCCCTAAATTGATTTTTGAATTCTGAATTTATTGTTATTCACATTTTATACTGTATTTTATCCTGTTTTTTGTTGCATCAATTAAGTGTTTTAAATTTGTTGTTAGCTGCCCTGAGCCCGGTTTTCTGAACCGGGAAGGGTGGGATATAAATAAAAATTTATTATTATTATTATCCTCAGAACAACCCTGTGAGGTCAGTTAGCCTGAGAGGCAGTGACTGGCCAAAGGAGCTCCGCAGAAGGCAAGGCATTTCCAGGCTGCGTGGGTGCTTTTCCCTGGTTCGGTAGCTCACCAAAGGGCCAAAGGCAGTGTTAGAAATTAGTCAGGCGTGTTTTGTAACTGGTGCGGGTCAAATTGTGACCATGTGGATGCCGGGTTGGAGACCGGAGAAAGCAAAACGTCACTTAAAGGATCTGAAATATTTTCCTTGAAGCTTGAATTTGTTTTACTCGATGTTTTATTTGTTGTGTACCACTTCGAGAGTTGTTCTTTAAAATATAAAGTGTTGTAGAAATGGAATTACGGTAATCGCCACCATCATCCCCATTGCAAAATGGGCAGAATCTGACCAGCATCCCTTTCGCTTCCCTTCCCAGTATAAAAAGGACGGCTTAAACGTAACCAGTTACTGCCACGAGACCTTACCTGGGTGGGTCCATGATGTGTTGGGCCGGAACTGGGCATGCTTCACCGCGCAAAAGATCTCCCCTTCAGCCTCCGGTGTTCGTGTAAATCAGCTGCCTTTGAAATCCACTGGAAGGTGAGTGGAAACAAATGCCATTTTGTTTGGTTAATTGTATGCTCTGATACGAAGACAGGAGTGCCTGGCGTGCTCTGGTCCATGGGGTCACGAAGAATCAGACACGACTAAACAACTAAACAACAACAACATGCTCTGATACAGGCTCCGTCATAGAGCCAGACAGAGATAACTGAAGCAAGGCCCCTGAACTGTTTTTATCCCAGCTGATCATTCTAACAATTCTTGACTTTGTGAAATAGTGCCTGAGCCTTTTTGTGGTTACCTCCTCCCTCCCCATACATTTTCCTTTTGTGTTATGTCAAGACAAGGACTGTCTACTGGTCTTGAAAACAAATAAGTACTGAAGGCCAGTTGATTCAGAAGACTGCAGGCTCATCCTGCTGGCTCTCCTTCAGAGACTGGTAGTGTTTATTTTTGCACTGACATGGGAGAGATGGGACCACTGTTTTGGCTCAGTGTGATGCAGCTTCATAGGTTTCCATAGGTCCATAATGAGAGGGTTTGTATGTTACATCCCAAAACCGTACAATCTGTGTACGCAAGTAACTGAGCTGTACACATATGTTCAATGAGTGTAGAGTCAGTGTACACAACACTTAAGCTGTACAAATCAACCTGTGAACAATGACTTAGGCATGTGTAGAGACATGTTCAGTGCAACTATAGTCATCAGAATCCATAGATCTTTTGAGGCATCCTCTGGCTCATGTGTGGTACCTGTTTTGACCCTCTGATCATAGGGAACTAGAATTCTGGTATTCATGCTTAAAACCCAGTCAGTATTCAGACTTAAAGGGGCAGGTGGGGCTCGTTGGCTTGGGAAGGTAGCCTTGCAGGGACATCTTTGGGAGAAGAAAAGGCTTCCTCAACCTCAGCCCTCCAGATGTTTTTTGAAACTACAATTCCCATCATTCCTGACCACTGGTCCTGCTAGCTAGGGATCATGGGAATTGTAGGCCAAAAACATCTGAAGGGCCGAGGAAGCCTGGAGTAAACCCTACAGAAATCCAGAATGGAGTCCCTAAGACAGCTGGATGGCGCCATGTATGTCTCCTTCTGGCAACTCCTGCAGCCAAGCTGGTGCCAAACGTCTTGCTCTGCTTTCCTTTGGACCACATCATTGAGGCTGAGAGGGCAGGGTCTTGCCATCTGGGCAGCCCAAGACCTCCATCCACACTGCCCAGGCTTGTGTTTCAGAGAGATCATTTCAGTGCTGCCAGCACAGCAGTTTGGCTTCACCCCACAAGGTGCACTCCATTGTCTCTTGAGGCAGACAGATGCCAGAACAACAACAACAACATTCATACTTCATATCTGAAACGTTGTGGCTCTTCTAGGTACAGAAAGTCATTGCAAAGTCCAGTTAAGGTGTACCTGTATTTGTACAGTTTATTTTTCTGCCACTTAGAACAGCAGTTCCCAAACCTTTTCTTCCAGAAACCTCTTGGAAATTGCTGGAGTTCTTGTAGGACCACTTAATGATTTTTCTGCCCATTTTAATGTACTCTGCTGGATGTTGGATGATTTTTAATTATACCTTGACTGCTCTGTTTACTTCCTGTATGTTGCATTTTATTGCATTACAATAAAATAAAATACAATATAACAAATAAAAGTACAATTAAAAATCAATATGAATTGTTCATGTAATAGCTGTGCCGTCCCCCATCTTCAACCACGAAGCCACAGACCTGTCAGGGATCACCTGAATGATGCTCATTGAGCACTGTTTGGAAACACTTGGCTTCGAGAGTTGTTCGATTAAGTTTTTTTATAAGTCTTTAAATAAAATGAGTGTAAACCAGTTAATTCTTGTTCCTTGTTGCTATTAAAACATAGACTGTGAGCAGTGCCAGATTTACGTATAAGCTAAACAAGGGACGCGGGTGGCGCTGTGGTCTAAACCACAGAGCCTAGGGCTTGCTGATCAGAAGGTCAGCGGTTCGAATCCCCGCGACGGGGTGAGCTCCCGTTGCTCGATCCCAGCTCCTGCCAACCTAGCAGTTCGAAAGCACATCAAAGTGCAAGTAGATAAATAGGTACCGCTCCAGCAGGAAGGTAAACGGCATTTCCGTGACCTGCTCTGGTTCGCCAGAAGCCACTTAGTCATGCTGGCCACATGACCCAGAAGCTATACGCCGGCTCCCTCGATCAATAAAGCGAGATGAGCGCCGCAACCCCAGAGTCGTCCGCGACTGGACCTAATGGTCAGGGGTCCCTTTACCTTTAAGCAAGCCATAGCTTAGGGCCCCACTCTCTTGCCCCCCCCCCAAGGGGGGAAAACCTGGATGTACATTTCCAAGATATAAGATAAAAAACAAATAAAATAAAACCTACATACAGCAACAGTGTTTTGTGTTGTGTAGGCTCCCATGATGTAAGTAATGGGCCCCGCCTGCTAGCCTGCTCCCTAAAATATCACTGGTTTGCTCATTTCTATATATTGGGTGCCTGCATTCTGCATGGACTGATTGCTTGGCAACATGTGCAAATGACTTTAGGTCCATAAATTACCATATAGCATATATTCAACACAAAAAAGCAACAATTTGTTGTTGACAAAGGACACCTGGACATATAAAGGGCCCCATTAGCTTCAGTAGCTTAGGGCCTCATCAAACCTAAATCCGGCGCTGACTGTGAGGCAGAGATTTCAACTTTAAATGCCCGCCTGTGAAGCACTATGATTGCTGGTGGCATTGTCTTAATAACAAAGGGTCTCTTGTCTTGTGGAAGAGTTTCATGAGGGGTTGCGTTGGGCTGTTTTCTTAATAAACTACTGGGACTTAAGCAGATTCTAGCCTTCGCAAGGCTCCCTCGCCTAACGCGTCGTTTGTGTCTCGACCGCAGATCTCTGCAGAAGTTCTACGTGAACAACTACGACTTCGTAGGAGCAATCAACGCCATTCAGAAATCGTGGAAAGCAGTAGCCTACAAGGAATATGAAGGCCTCACCCTAGAAGATTTGGCTCGGAGAGCAGGCGGGTTAAATCCCAGAATTCCAAGGTAAAGGGATCGTGACATTTTGGCCTAGTCGTCACCAAGGGACCATAAACCTGGGGCTGGCTTGTGCTGCTTAAAAGGGTTGGTGGTGCTGAACACACCTCCGTTCATCGTCCTGTGTGTGCGCATACATGTATGGAGAGCGAGAAGGAGAGAGTTTTACAACTCGTGTCTCCAGCTCCTACTGCTTTCACAAGCTGTGTGTAAAGGCAGTGGTCCTTCCATGGGAAAGCTGTGCTATCTTTGAATGAGAATCATTCTTCACACAGCACATAGTTTAAACTATAGTGGTACCTCAGGTTAAGAACTTAATTCATTCTGGAGGTCTGTTCTTAACCTGAAACTGTTCTTAACCTGAAGCACCACTTTAGCTAATGGGGCCTCCTGCTGCCGCCGCCGCCACGCAATTTCTGTTCTCATCCTGAAGCAAAGTTCTTAACCCGAGGTACTATTTCTGGGTTAGCGGAGTCTGTAACCTGAAGTGTCTGTAACCGGATGTACCACTGTAGGGGATTCTCTCCCACAAGGGGCAGGGATGGCTGCCAGCATGGGTGGCTTCCAAAGAGATCTGGAGGGCCTCATTAGCTCCTAGACCTGAGATTCCCTGCCTTTTCCTTTTATAAATAAATTCAAAAAGGGGGTAAATACAAAAAACAGAATCCCAACTTAGCCTCCCCACTGCCACCCAAGGACGGAGCAGTCTTTTTAAGTTTGCCAAAGTCCAGTCTTTGATTTTGGCGCTTGCTATTCTTCAGAGTTATCAGTAAAGTATTTTACAGAACGATGCATATTTAAACAAAATCATCTTCATCATTTGTAGTATTCAGTGCATGTGATCTCTTTTGTTAATCTTTCTGATGCATCAATCGGACATACATTCCGTTTCCAACAAGAAATGCACACATCGTTTCCAATTCTGTGCCGCTCATAGAAGCACTGCTACTAAAAGGAGAGTAATTAGTTATTCAGGTTGCCCTTCTTTTAAAATGGTTAACAATCCCAAACTTGGGGTATATTCTACGTGTTAACCTATAGTATAGCTTATTTCTGTAAATACCCACTGCCAGAAGGGCTGTACATGCTCACGCTTCCACCACATGTGAAGTGTTGTACCTTTTCCATAGATGAACACTCTGCTGCTTGTAGGAAGACATGCAGGAAGGCTGTGTGGACATTGCAGCTCTCGGATGGTGTTCCAATTCTTCCTCTTGTCAAATAATAGGGATTCCAATATGAAGTATTTGGGTTTTATTTCTTTATAGGCCAAAACCTGCCCCTCTGACTGCTGAACTAATGAAACAAGTTTCCAACCTGCCTGAATCTTGGGACTGGAGGAACGTGAATGGTGTTAACTACGTCAGCCCAGTGCGAAACCAGGGTAGGATATGTTCCTTTCATACCTTTTGTTACTGAAATAACCAACAAGGTGTTCTAGAAAAGTCAAATACACAACTTGGATGTACACAGCCTACAGCCAGTTCTTTTGAGAGAGATGGATGCAAGTCAGGGACATTGCAACGTGGGATGCTGTCATCCATCGTGAGAACAACTAAAGAGTTGAACTCATTCACATCATAAAGTGTATTAGCCACTTGACTGCGGCATTGCCCAGAAACCTTGCCTCACCTTTTGCCATGACCATAGATCAGATGTGGGGAACATAAGCATTTTCTGCTCCCATTTTGGTTTTCAGCAGTCTCCTGGTTGAGGCCGGAAGGCTGGAGTTTGCTCTTGTGGGTCCCACCCCGGTTTCAGTGTTGGGTTATGAATTGGCCCAGTCTGACACGCCGCCAGCCTCTGGGTTTCACTCAACTTAATATTGGATGCTTGTTAACAGTGGAACTGAACCTCATTAACAGATTACTTTCCTAATTGTTTCTGACAGCAAATTATCACTCCGCTTTTAGCCAGTGATCCCTTGAATTGTCTTACGCCACTTTCAGGTCTTATTGTTGATCAAAGTCATAGTTCTAGGTGTGTGGGGGGGGGGTTTAGTGGTGATAATTACACCACCGGGTAGGTATGTCATAAATCCCTCCCTTCTTCCATCAGTGTCAGTCTTGAAGGTGGCTAAATGCAGCTGGCTTGGGCCTAACCGCTTCAGCTGATGTGCTCAAAGCAGGCCCAAGAACGTGACAGAAATGAAAATGATGAGGAAAAGGATTTTGTGGTTTTTGGGTGTGGGTGGAAATTACATCACTTTCCTGGGCAGTGAAAAGTGGTGTTACGTGCCTCTTTGCTACAAGAAACCCAAGACTATGTTCTGGGAGAATTAGCTTTCAGCTTCTTTCCGGAAACCTTGAACTCTGAATTCCCACTGGCTCCTTTTTGCTTTCTTTCTCACTTATTTACAGCAGGGATGGGGAAACTCTGGTCCAGGCCTCCTTGTTTGTCCCTCCCACTGCATTTTGGCCAAACCGTGTGCAATTGGTCAGTGTGCTTGGCTGTCAACCAGAAGGTTGGTTGTTCGAGTCCCAGGGAAGGCTGTGGGCAGAGTTCAGGGGGTTGGCTGGGCCAAAAGGACTTTCTGGAGCACCAATTACCTGCCAATCAGCGAGACGGGGAAGCGCATTGGTGTCCCAACGATCAGCTGGCTGGCTGTGCATCAGAAGATGGGTCTTGGGGTTGCATCGCTTGTCATCTTTGTGATGTCAGGTGATTGACAGAATGGCAATCCCACCCACCTGTCATATTTGTTGTTTTTTATAGTAATATTTATTAGCATTTTCATTTTCAAAAAACACCATAGTTTTTACATTTCTTATCATCACCTGTATTTTGACTCTCTTGAGTCGTCAAATTCCACCCATCCCTCCAAACTGGCTTTCTAACTTCCAGTCGTAACTTCATCTGCATTTTTATTCTGTCTACCTACCTTTCTTTTTACTTTCATATTCTTTATAATTGTAAATCAGCTTTTACTTTTAACCAGCAAACCTTTAAGTCAGTCCTGTTAGTGTTGTTTAATGTTTACAATCATATTTCAAATATGTAATAAATTACTCCAGCTTTTTTCAAACTGTTGGTCTCGCTGGTCTCAGATTTTCCTGGACAGTTTTGTCAGTTCTACGTATTCAATCATCTTATTTTGCCATTCTTTTCTACTGTCGAAATTTCTTGCCCACCTGCCATATTTGACCTGTGAGGCAATAGGGGAGATAAGGATCTGGCCAGATCTACTTTCCATCCTCTCCCTGTGATTTGGAGTATTCTGCTTCTCAGGCAATTATAATAACAATAATATAATAAATTTTTATTTAGAAAACCGGGCTCAGGGCGGCTAACAACAAATTTAAAACACTTAATTGATGCTACAAAAAAACAGCGTAAAATACGGTATAAAACTTGAATAATAATAAAATCAAAAATCAATTTAGGGGGGAAATCCATCCAATAAACGTTAGATGATCACCAGGGCTAGCTGGCTAAATTAGTCCTATTTGGGCCAGCAAGGAGACCAGGGGAGAATTAGCTGTGGGATCCCAGAGCGGGTAATCTTCATAAAAAGGGGAGGGAAGGAAGGGGAATAAAAGATCAGGCTAAGTTCAAATTGAAAGCCAGGCGGAATAGCTCTGTCTTACAGGCCCTGTGGAAGGAAGTTAAATCCTGCAGGGCCCTGGTCTCATGGGACAGAGCATTCCACCAGGTTGGCGCCATCACTGAGAAGGCCCTGGCCCTGGTGGAGGATAGTCTGACTTCCTTAGGGCCCAGGACCTCTAAACTATGATTATTCATGGACCTTAAGGTCCTCTGCGGGGCATACCAGGAGAGGCAGTCCTGAAAATACGAGGGCCCTTAGCAGCGCACTTCATTTTGGAAAGAGAAAGAGAGGCCCTGCTCTCGGGCGTACAAACTAAAAGGACAAGACTTTCAAGGGAGTAGAGGCAAAATCGAGAGAGAAAGATTGTGCCTTCCAAGCCAGGAGGGGGAAGCAGTGTCTCTGCAGCTCCTCTGGTCGATGGATGGGGGCTGAGTGGTCTTCCCTCACTGCTTCAAAGTTCTTCCTGGGAGTCAGGGTTGCAGCCCCTCAGTAGTCACAAGGTCCCCTCACAGAGGCCAGAGCATGCTTCTTTTCATCTCTGCAATCCCTTCTATGAGCAGAACTTGCCGCCAGAGCCAGGCAATACCTGGGACTGGTTTGCTGTGTTGCAACAGAGACCTTGCTTTTGGAAACTGCTTCCCCTAAATGGATATTCAGGCCTGGAGGATCTGCTGACCGGGAAACTGGTTAGAAAGAGAATAGACTTCCTGAACCATCAGTTTCGAAAAGAGTCCTTTCTGCCTTTTAACGAGTCTTTAATGGCTTTTAGTGATTTTTTATTTGGCTGCAGAGCGAGTGGCCTCTAATGCAATTTAAACCAGGTTGCGATTTAATTTGTGGGGAACAGCGAAAACCGGTGCTTTTAGAAAATTAACTTGAGGTTGCCACTGCTAACTCTTGCCATTGTTGTTGTTGTTTATACTCTTAACTGTCAATATTGCCTAGCTGGTAAATGAATGTGCCACCATCCTGAATAACTAATTTATCTTGCTGCTAATGAGGAAAAATACACCATGGAAGGTTTGTGTATTTCTGCAAGATGGGCTCTTGCAACTTCACCTGCATTCACACAGCAGTTCATTTTCTGTTTATTTCTGCATTGTATTTTACAATGTAAAAGCCGTTGTAAAACTAATGGAATATTGTGTGTGTTTAGCGCTCATTTTTATGTTATTTGAGTCCAAAAAAAAAAAATCTGTTTGCAGCCCTTTTAACCCAGGAAGCTTGAGGGTATAACAGCATACAGTTCTTTCCTGCTATTTTCATGTGGGAATCTTGCTGGAACACAAGTGCACACATGTGGGAAGGATGAGGGAGTAACAAAGTTATCCAGTGGCGTTCAATTTTGTGCCACACCACACCCACTGGTGTGCATGAAATTTAGTGTGACATGCTTGTATATTGGGCAGAAAGCCATAGTTCTGTAATGCAGCTGGTAAAAGTAAAGGGACCCCTGACCGTTAGGTCCAGTTGCGGACGACTCTGGGGTTGTGGTGCTCATCTTGCTTTATTGGCCGAGGGAGCTTCCAGGTCATGTGGCCAGCATGACTAAGCCACTTCTGGCGAACCAGAGCAGCTCACACAAACGGTGTCTACCTTTCCGCCGGAGTGGTACCTATTTATCTACTTGCACTTTGACGTGCTTTCAAACTGCTAGGTTGGCAGGAGCAGGGACCGAGCAACGGGAGCTCACCCCGTCGCGGGGATTCGAACCGCTGACCTTCTGATCGGCAAGCCCTGGGCTCTGTGGTTTAACCCACAGCGCCACCCGCGTCCCTAATGCAGCAGGTACTGAAGTGTAAAAGGAACAAAAGCCACTAGCAATTATGATCAGGAAAACTAGCGGGATGGGATGAGAGGGGGAAAATAAAGCTTAGAATCATCAGAACTTCCAACCCAACCGTTTGCTCAGTGCAGGATCTGCAGTGCAGGATGACACATCAGCATTCCTTGTGTTGCAAAAACAGAGAAACTTTAAGCAAAAGCAGGCAACACATGACTAATAATGTTCTAACTATATATATATATATATATATATATATATATATATATATCCTGTATTATTTCACAATTCTTAAACAGAGAACATATGATGGAGATACAAATAATAAAATAAATCAATATTGTATGAACAAAATTGAAGAAGGTAGTCAATCAATATCATTGAGGCCAAACAGGCCTTTCAATAGTCCCAATCCTGTAATCATGCAATAATAGAAGCTCCAAGCTCAGCAATTCTTAACAGAGAATATGTAATGGAATCACAGAAAATAAAAGTCTATCACTGATGCACGAATAAAATTAGACAATATAGTCCATCAGTATTGAAAGAGGCAAACAAGCCTTCCAGCAGTCACAATCCTGTACCCATGCGATGATGGATGTTCCAGAAATGTGGTACAGTTTTGATAGTAGTTCTTCATCAGTGTATGAGTGGTCCTAACAGGTACCTCAAGTAGCATAAGATCAGCACTCACTAAGAAGTGTAGAAAGCTGATCCTTTTATAAATAAATACCAAAAGGGGGGAAATACAAAAACAAAACCCCAACTTAGCCTCCCCCCTGCCAGCCAAGGATGCATCAGTCTTTTTAAGTCTGTCAAAGTCCAGTCTTTGATTTTGGCAGTTCCACCCAACCCTTGGCTCAGGATGCCACAACAGCATCCCTGAAAAATGCTATCCAGCCCCTGCAGAAATGGTCCCACAAAGGAGAACCCAGGCCAACGCCGCTCACTAGTCCTTCTTCACACCCTCCTTTTGTATTTTTCCCAGGCTGGGACATGTCCACAAACTCTTTAAATGCCTTTTGCCTCTCTGGCGGGTGCGTGTGAGCAGAAGCTAGCTTGCCCCCCCTAAAAAAGCTAACATTTACATTCATTGCTCTGCCTTTTTGCTTCCCTGGATGGAGGATAGTTTTGTTTTTGTGTAGAAACTGGCCTGCTGTGCAGATGTGACTTTTTTGGCTCCACCCCCTTTTGCCTCTTGCCCCGCCCCCACCAGCATGTGGCCCCCAGAAGCTTGCCCAGGAGGGAAAATGGCCCTCTGGCTGCAGAAGTTCCCCACTCCCTAATGGAGGTCCATTGGTCCATTTAGGCTAGGATGGAGATGATGGATCGCCTTCACCTCTGGGATGTGTGAGAAATTAAATCATGGCGTTCCATCCATTGTCAGCTGAACAGAGTGATATAATTGTGGAGTCCTGGGAATATTAGGATGGAAGACTGGCTCTAACTGGCTCTCTCGTTCTCCTCAGCATCCTGCGGCAGTTGCTACGCCTTTGCTTCCATGGGCATGCTTGAATCCAGGATTCGTATCCTCACCAACAATTCGCAGACTCCGACGCTCAGTCCCCAGCAGGTTGTTTCCTGCAGCCAGTACTCTCAAGGTAAACGACATGGCAGCACTGTATTCATTCACTGTAACCTGGACCCAAGAACCTACCGATCTTGGCTTTCCCCATTTGTGCTGAAGAACATCTTCCTCACCATCTAACCCAGCAACAGAGGCTCTGTGGGACTTCTCCCCTCTGTGGCTCAGGGCAAGGGTTGTAGCTCAGCGGTAGAGCAACTCTTTTGCATGCAGAAGGTCCCAAGTTCGATCCCTTGCATCTCCAGGTAGGACTAGGAATGTTGCCTGCCCTAAAACCCTAGAGAGCTGCTGCCAAAAACCAGCATAGGCATAGAAATGAATTTCATCTGTTTCAGCCATAGGAGGTAGTGAGGTTTGGCAGAAGCTGAACTGCAGCAGAATGGAGATAGCACTGATTGTGACAAACCCAGAGTGGGATGGAAACCACTGTCTCCCTATATCCCTTAGGACATTTGTGCATATTTGCAGGATAAGAGATCTGCACACTGTTGGCTTCTAGAAATGAAGGGCATAAACTGGGCAATGCCCAACTATTGCATGGCAGCTTTGAGTTACAGTGGTACCTCAGGTTACATACGCTTCAGGTTACATACGCTTCAGACTCTGCTAACCCAGAAATAGTACCTCTACTTACAGACTCTGCTAACCCAGAAATAGTACCTCGGGTTAAGAACTTTGCCTCAGGATGAGAACAGAAATTGTGATCCGGCGGCGCGGCAGCAGCAGGAGGCCCCATTAGCTAAAGTGGTGCTTCAGATTAACAAGAGTTTCATGTTAAGAACGGACCTCCAGAACGAATTACCGTATTTTTCGCCCTGTAGGACGCACTTTTTCCCCTCCAAAAATGAAGGGGAAATGTGTGTGCGTCCTATGGGGCGAATGCAGGCTTTCGCTGAAGCTTGGAGAGCGAGAGGGGTCGGTGTGCACCGACCCCCCTCTCTCTCTCTCCAGGCTTCAGGAAGACATCCGCAGCCTAGGCAGCCCTGCGGGAGTTCCCGCAGGGCTATCTAGGCTGCGGATAGCAGCCTGCCGCCCGGCGCGACAGGCGCCCTGAAGCAGAGCGCCCCTCGCGCCGGGCAGACATCCGCAGCGTGGGGAGCCCTGCAGGAGTTCCCCGCAGGGCTCCCCATGCTGCGGATAGCAGCCTGCCGCCCGGCACGAGGGGCGCCCTGAAGCAGAGCGCCCCGCGCGCCAGGCAGACATCGGCCAGCCCCACAAGCTCGGGAGACAGCAGGGAGGCGCAGCGCCGCCATCCCGCTGTTCCTCAACCTGGTTCGGTTTCCCCGACCTGGTTTTGGGGGGGAAATAAAGGGGGGGAAATTTCCTTTATTTCCCCCCCAAAAAAACTAGGTGCATCCTATGGGACGGAGAGTCCTATGGGACAAAAAATACGGTAAGTACTTAACCCGAGGTACCACTGTATTTGGTCAAGACAGAAAGCGGAATGAGCCATGAGAACAGAGCATAGAAATTGGGGCGAACACTAGGGCTGGACAATATATTGTCTAAAACTGGATTAAGTCCGTAACATAATATTGGTTTTATAATTTTTGACCTGACAAAATACTGCAAATTGTGATATATGTGTGTGTTCTATGCAGAAATCACAATGTGGGAAAAATTGTGAAGCCAACCAATGTCTCTACATAGTCCCATCCTTATTTCAGACATTGTGGCATATAGTCATACCTCGGCTCCCGAACGCCTTGGGAGTTCAATGTTCTGGCTCCCAAATGTTCGAAAAACAGAATTGAGTGTTCCAGTTTTCCAACATTCTTTTGGAAGCTGAACATCCGACAGAGCTTCCGCAGCTTCCAATTGGCTGCAGGAGCTTCCTGCAGCCAATCAGAAGCCACACTTTGGTTTTTGAACGTCGAACAGACTTCCAGAACGGATTTCGTTTGACTTCCAAGATACGACTCTATTGTGGTGTTTAGCTGGTGATATACCAAGATGTTGAAAACCAGCGATCGCCCAACCCTAGTGAACACATACATATTCTCAAAGCTTGATTGGCAATGAAGGAGAACCCCCGCCCCCGGACAAATTGTGTGATTAACCATCTGGGTTATTTCCTTGTTTCTTTCAGGCTGCGATGGAGGATTTCCTTACCTCATTGCTGGCAAATACGCTCAGGATTTTGGTGTGGTTGAGGAGGACTGTTTCCCTTACACAGCCAGAGATTCGCCCTGCACTTTTAAGAGCAAGTGCTACCACTACTATGCCACCAACTACCACTACGTTGGCGGCTTTTACGGAGGGTGCAACGCAGCGCTGATGGAACTTGAACTTCTTGCGCACGGGCCTATGGCTGTTGCCTTTGAAGTGTATAGTGACTTCCTGCATTACGAAGGGGGGATCTACCACCACACGGGCCTGAGGGATCCTTTCAACCCTTTCGAGCTGACCAACCATGCTGTCTTGCTCGTCGGCTACGGCAGTGACCCAGCCACCGGCGAGAAGTTCTGGATAGTGAAGAACAGCTGGGGAGAGAGATGGGGCGAGGGGGGTTATTTCAGGATCCGTAGAGGCACTGACGAATGTGCGATAGAGAGCATCGCCGTGGCCGCCACGCCTATCCCCAAAATGTAGCCGTGGTACTTTTCAGCCGATACCTTCCCAGGAAGCAATGGTGTCCGTCCTAAAAAAAACAAAAAAAACAAATCATGGTGCGCTTCACAGCAGTGTGCTTTGGCAGCTTAAGAAAATGAGCTTTAATGAAAAACATTCAGGCGTGGGGAATTGAAATTGAGCTTGCATCCCTCAAAGGATGCTAAATGAGGGCCATTAAGGCGTCATGGATGGAGCAAGCTGGTGCCTTCCAGATGTTTTGGACTACAATTCCCATCATCCCTGGTCATGGACCATGCCGGCTGGGAGTTGTAGTGCAAAATATCTGGAGGGAACCAGCTTGGGCAAGACTAGACCCAAGACCAGGTGGGATTCAAGTAGCTGATCAGTCGCGAAGTTTGCTTGGTGGCCTTTGTGAGCCACTGACTCCATTTTGCATTTATCACTAAAACTCAGCAGCCGTTTTGTGTGCGTGGCTGGATAGCAAGGATTGGGAACCATGGTTTGGAGCAGGCTTGCAAACCCATGGTTTGGCATGGTGTCGGCGCTAGGGATGTGGGAGAACTGCTGTTACAAGTGTTCCATCTTTGGAAGCCACTATATCATGAAGGAGAAGTGCTGAGCACGTGGGAAATGGAAAGCAGACATGCAGAATGATGACTTAGTGGTACATTTGGAAGATTAAGCCATGGTTTGAACGGAGCTTTACTTTTAGCCCTGGGATTGGGGAAACCTGTGGCCCTCCAGATATTGTTAGACTTCCATCAGCCCCAGCCAGTACGGTCAATGGTCAGAGATTATAGGAGTTTAACATCAGGAGGACCACAGATTCCCATCTCTTTTAGCCTTACTTTAACCGAGTTGTTTTGGGTAAAATGGGATGATTCCCTGTGTCTTGCCATCGAGGAAAGATAGGATACAAAGAAGAGCAAGTCTGAGGTTTACAATCTCCAATAAGTACAATATGCAATAGCTGAAGACATTTGACACATTATTTCCCATCATTTTCTCCTCTAAATTGGACAATCTTTCTGTACTTGCCCTCTGCCGGAAATACTTTTTCACCTCTGTAATTTTATTTTGTGTTTTAAATTACTGTGCCTTACAGGGGAAATGAAGAAATGTGTAAGTAGAAGATGATGCAATTTGTACTACATTTACAATATGATTGCACTGTGATTTTTATTCTTTTTTGAAAAAGGGAATCTCTCCATCTATTCTTTGTATAGCAAAGAAGACAAACCTGGTGCGTGACCTCTCCTGAATGTCGGTGTTCATCTGACATTCATTTTTAATGATGCCCTTTTATTCTGCACGTGGCTTGCTTCGTTTTATGGTTCTCAGTTTTGTACGTGATTCTGAAATAAAGGGAAGCCCTCCTCCTGTCTCTGTGGCAGTTCTTTTGGCCCAAGCTGTCTTGCTACCTCTCTCGAATGCTAATGGGAAGCAGGAGAGACCCGAGTCCTCCATCAGGTTTTGGTGAAGTCCACTGCAGTCCCATGTATATGAGGACAGCCTTGCTAGATCGGACTAGAGTTACATCTAGTTTAGCTTTCTGGTGCTGGGGAGGAGCCTCGGGGGGGAATTTGCAAACAAAGAGTGAAGAAGAGTGAAGAACAGTGTGACGCGGCAGCTAAACAAGCCAATGCAATTCTGGGCTGCATCAATAGGAGTATAGCATCTAGATCAAGGGAAGTAATAGTGCCACTGTATTCTGCTCTGGTCAGACCTCACCTGGAGTACTGTGTCCAGTTCTGGGCACCACAGTTCAAGAAGGACACTGACAAACTGGAACGTGTCCAGAGGAGGGCAACCAAAATGGTCAAAGGCCTGGAAACCATGCCTTATGAGGAACGGCTAAGGGAGCTGGGCATGTTTAGCCTGGAGAAGAGGAGGTTAAGGGGTGATAGGATAGCCATGTTCAAAGATATAAAAGGATGTCACATAGAGGAGGGAGAAAGGTTGTTTTCTGCTGCTCCAGAGAAGCAGACACGGAGCAATGGATCCAAACTACAAGAAAGAAGATTCCACCTAAACATTAGGAAGAACTTCCTGACAGTAAGAGCTGTTCGACAGTGGAATTTGCTGCCAAGGAGTGTGGTGGAGTCTCCTTCTTTGGAGGTCTTTAAGCAGAGGCTTGACAACCATATGTCAGGAGTGCTCTGATGGTGTTTCCTGCTTGGCAGTGGGTTGGACTCAATGGCTCTTGTGGTCTCTTCCAACTCTATGATTCTATGATTCTAAGAAGAAGAGATAGAGCTGGTAGACAGCTGCCCTGGACACAGAATTGGCCTGCATCTCCATGGACAGCTGTGAGTCCAAAATGACTCCCAGGCTACGCACCTGGTACTTCAGGGGCACAGTTGCCCCATTCAGGACCAGGGTGTCCCCCACACCCACCCACCCCCTGTTCCCACAAAACAGTACTTCTGTCTTGTCAGGATTCAACCTCAATGTTAGCCGCCTCCCTCCTCCAACTGCCTCCAGGCACTCGCACAAGACCTTCACCGCCTTCACTGGTTTTGATTTGAAAGAGAGGTAGAGCTGGGTATCATCCGCATACTGATGAACACCCAGCCCAAACCCTCTGATTATCTCTCCCAGTGGCTGCATGTAGTTGTTGAAAAGCATGAGGGAGAGAACAGAACCCTGAGGCACCCCACAAGTGAGAGCCCAGGGGTCTGAACACTCATCCCCCCCACCACTTTCTGGACACGGCCCAGGAGAAAGGAGCGGAACCACTGTATAACAGTGCCCCCAGCTCCCAGTCCCTCTAGACGGTCCAGAAGGATGTTATGGTCGATGGTGTCAAAGGCCGCTGAGAGATCCAGCAGAACTAGGAAACAGCTCTCACCTTTGTCCCTAGCCCAATGGAGATCATCTACCAGTGCGACCAAGGCAGTTTCAGTCCCATGGTGAGGCCTGAATCCTGATGGGAAGGGATCCAAATGGTCTGCATCCTCCAGGAGTGCCTGGAGTTGTTCAGCAACCACCTGCTCAGTCACCTTGCCCAAGAATGGAAGATTTGAGACTGGAAGATGGCCATATCAGCCGGGTCCAAATCTGTTTTTTTAAGAAGCAGTTTAATGACCGCCTTTCAGTGGGGCTGGGAAGGCTCTCTCACAGAGGGAAGCATTCACCCCTTGCAGAGCCTATCGCCCAGCCCTTCCCGGCTCACTTTTATTAGCCAGGATGGGCAAGAATTAAGGAGACAGGTGGTTAGTTTCACTCATCCAAGCAGCCTGTCCACATCCTCAGAGGTAACAGATTGGAATTGATTCCACACAACTTGACTAGACAGGACTCTAGCACTCTCCCTCCCTGGCCCTGCTCCCATGGTAGAGTCTACCTCTTTCCAAATCCGAGGGACTTTATATGCAAAAAAACTTTGCAAAATAATTGCAGGAGATCTGGGGGGCCTTATCAGGCCCTGATGGCGCAGGTGGTTCCATTAAATTACGAACCACCTAAAAGAGTCTCCTGCTGCTGTTTTCTGCAGCTGCAATAGAGGCGGTGAAGGTTTATTATATTGTATAATTACATTGCATAGGATGGACCAATGGTCTGATTTGGTTATTAGACAGTTTCATGTGTCCCTAATATGACCGGGCCACTGGTTACGTTTCGTAGTACCCTGTACGCTTTTCTGGAAGCTTTCGTTAAGTCCAAAGTTAGTTCATGGCTATGCATTTGAAACAATGGATTTGTTGCGGCAGGTGCAGCCTTTGTGTGTTCCTGAGATTAGCACATGCCTCCCCAAGCAAGTTGAGAGCCTCAGAGTTCTGGCCACCCTGGGAGAACATATTCAAATGTGCAAACTACAGGATCATCCTTCAAAGTTAACATCAACACCTGCTACATAGCTTGAATTGGATAATTAGAACATGGCAAACCAGCCTAAAGGATAAACAATAAATTCATGAGCAAGCGGAGGGTGAGGTGGGTTGCTAAAATAAATCCTTTTCTGGTGCTGTTGCTGCTGCATGAACTACTATAGGGAGGGAGGGTTAAGTAGCTGATTGAGGCAGATCTATCTCTGCAGTCACCACAGGTTCTCCAGAAGCACCAGGGACTTCTAGAGCACAGGGGAAGAGACTGATAGCCACACCAGCTTGTGTGACTTGATTGCTGATGATGCCTTTTAAGAGCTGTGCCAAAGTGAAAGAGGGGCATGGGAGAGAGGGTCAAGTGCAGGGAAGCAGAATGGTCTTTAGCAGCTGGGAGAGCAGAAAATCCGGGGTAGACTTTGCACCGTGTCTGGGCCCAATGGTGGGCAACTTGTGGCTTTCCAGATGATGCTGGAATCCAGAACCCATCAGCCCCAGCCAGCATACAGAAGTTTGCTTGTTGACCATACAGCTCTTGATAATCTCTTACTACCTTGTTGTACAGCAAGAGGACACAGGTGGCACTGTGGTCTAAACCACCGAGCCTCTTGGGCTTGCCGAACGGAAGGTCAGCAGTTCGAATCTGCTCAATGGTGGTGAGCTCGGTCCCAGCTTCTGCAAACCTAGCAGTTTGAGAGCATACCAGCGCAAGTAGATAAATAGGTACCTCTGTGGCGGGAAGGTAAATGGCATTTCCGTGTGCTCTGGCACTCGTCAGTCTTCCGTGCGCCAGTACAGTTTTAGTCATGCTAGCCGCATGGCTTGGAAAGCTGTCTGTGGACAAACGCTGGCTCCCTCGGCCTGAGTGCCGCACCCCATAGTCACCTTTGACTGGACTTAACCATCCAGGGGTCCTTTACCTTTACCTATAATAGCAAGGGGACTGTGTTCTTTGGGCTTCAGTTATTCTGAAAAACAGCAAACAAAGAAGAAGACATATTAACAGTGAACTTTTAGCTTTCTTACCATCTGTTCCTCCGCAATTTACTTGGAAGTAGGGAATGGGGGATAAATCGGGACAGACTAGGCTTTCAATGCACTGCTCCCGATTCTGTGATGCAATTCTCCAACCCAATATTGCACCACAGAAACATGAGGCAGTATACATAAAAATGCATTATATTATTGGAAAAT